TGTATATATACATATATAAATATATTCATATATATATATATATATATATATATATATATATATATATATATATATATATATATATATATATATATGTGTACTACTATATATATATATATATATATATATATATATATATATATACGTATGTTGCGTATAGTTTGGCAGCATGTTGTCATTGAATAGTTTAGACAAGTTCACTCGGAATAAAAAAATATGTATCAACACGATAATTTTCTCTCTTCCTTTAATAATGACAACAAAATTCTTGTCCGTGAATGTGAAAGGATCCTATTAAAAATAAGTAGACAAAACTTGTCTAAATTATTCAATTAAACATGTCTGTCTGTCTCTCTCTATATATACATATATATATAATACATGCAAGCATTACGTTTGCAATTGGCACAGAAATGCTGGTAAGGACTTTAGATAGATCATAGTCTTTCTGATATCATCCAACAAGGAAGTGATTATATAAAAAGTAAATAAAACGATAATAACTCAAAAATAAAAGAAAATTGTTAGTCAATGGTTCAAGTCCTGACTTTACTAGTTTTTATTTCATTTGTTAATCTGTAGATGTGGAAAATGGATAGAAAAAAATTGTTTTTTGACAGAAGTAATTATATTTCGATGTGATGTAACTTTGTCAGAAATCACAAAGATTGGGGATGACAAAACCGAATCAAAATGGATGACGATGCTGAAAAGGGTGCGAACATTGCAGATACTGGAAGAAACAAAGAATGGAAAATCCAAATTTGGATTTAAAGAAGATATATCTGACACAATTAAGACATTTTTTTTCTTAAATTTATATCAAGGATTTGATGTAAGAATCCTATATAGCTGAAATGTTTTGGGCCTGAAATTACTGACAATGACTAAAAATAATAAAAAATAGAGCAACTGCTCTACTTGTACGTACTAAATCTAAGTAATGATACTATGTCTATTAAATAAGAAAATAAATCAAAATGCAATTTATGACAGCTTATCTTTCTGAATAATTAAAATCTGCAAATGAATGAAAAAAGAAACACCCAAAGACACTGGAGTGATAAATAACATAATGTTTGACTATAAGTATTTAAGTTTTATTGTTTATTGATCGCAGATATAAAAAATTCCTTTATTTTTCACTTATCACGTCATGATTTTTTTTCAAAGAAGATAAATTTATAGAAAGATATTTTTAAAGAAATTGATTCAGAAATAATCTTGGAGGTGCAAAAAAACCATAAACTTGCGTTTATATCCTTGTAATGCATATCGGTTCGAAAACAATGCATTCGGAAACAAATCTTCTGTTTGTGGGTAGGGAAAAATAATAGAGAAAATATATAATTTTTTAACTTTAAATATAAGTAATATTTTAATTTATTTAATATATCTTACATTTGCATGCCAATATGGACCACAGTGGCTAAAACAGTAAACTAAAGATACTGTTAGGTAAAAAGTGATTTCCCAGAAAAAACAAAAGTGAATGCAAATTCAATTACTACCGGAAGATACATTTTCGATGATTCAGACAAGCAGACGTTAATTTTTCACTGTTTGTAAATAAACATGATGCATTTGTAAAAACCTCTACCCACAATAATAATTAATATATCTTAATTAAATATAAGTTTTATTCAACTTTATAACAATTAAATAATAAGTGAATTTATTAAAATATTTACGATGAGTTAAATAACTTATTTTTACTTTTAGTTTAATCGACTATATTGTTTCATTACTACAAATTAAATATGATTCTTATTTTAATAAGAGAGTATTAAAATAATTTAACCTGGAAATACCTTTTCTATGGTTTTTTTTTTCCAATGCTTTTCTATTTTTGACTGCCAATTTTTTTTTATTTTTTTTACTAAAAGATTAATATAGCTAAAAAAATCAGATTGAATATCTTATTTATTTTTTGGTGATATAAATATTTTGTTTTAAAATTGTTTATTTTTAACCTAATCCGTCAGTCACAAGAAACAAAAAATAGTTATCGATATTAGGAAAGTTCTCGTTTTCTTTCCCACAAGTCGAAGTTATAATTTTTTCTTACCCTAACAAAGCATACCTTATGACTTTTCTTTCAAATTTTCCATGTCAACTTCACCCTTTATTTTATAAGAAACAACAAAAAAAATCCTGTTTTAAGTGGGAAATCCGGCATGTATATAGCCGGCGTTAGTATCGAGAGAAAATGTATGTATTATTGACATTGTACAACATCGTTTCCGCATTTATTTATTTTTTAAATTTGTTCGAACAAATCCTGATGCCCATAAAATCAAGTCTGATCAGTTAAAATGCAAAACCGACATTCAAACAAATATAAATTTCTTTTCATTCTTTTTTCTTTTTAAAAATAAATCAGACCGTTTTTTTTTTCGCGCTCGCTCTGAAATGTTATCATCATTCAACGAAGCAAGAACGTGTCACTGTTACTAAACATAAAAAAAAAAGTATTTATATTTTTGTATTTTTTACTTACTGTTTTCATCAGGGCTTGAGTTTTGAAACTGCTTCAGTTTTTCCTCTAGGTGTTCATGTGTGCATTCATGCATATTGGAAAGTGAGGACGTGCCCCGGGGCACCACTAGGGAAGATCGATAAGGTTGTCGGGTCAGGTGGCTGGAGGATAGATCACTCGGGGGGATGACCACACGGCTACCTGCACGGGCAGCGCTCAGATGTCTGCGAGAAGAAGAGAAGAAAAAAAAAAAAAAAAAAAAAAAAGAAAAAGAAAGAAAGAAAAAGAAATAAGCTGACTGAATTGGACGGAGTATGAAATATATACGAGTAACGACTTTTTTCTTCCCGCTTTTTTCTTTTTTCTTCCAAAAATAGGTAGTTTTTTTTTCTTTCACAGCAAAGCCAATTTTGAATGCAACAACAAAAACGGCAACAAAGAAAGAACTGATGGGTAGACAGGTACAGAAAAAAATGATGGAAGAAAACGAAACGGGTGATGTTGGATATCGGGTCGTTAACCAGATTTTGAAACGAAAAGCTGTTCTTTTTTGTCGTTTTTTTTTTTTTTTTTTTCTCCTGAAGTTATTAGATGTCACGACTCTCTCCCACTTTCTTTTTCTCCTCCTACTTCGTATTTTGTTAATATATCTTTTCTTTATTATCCGCTGGTTGATAATGCCTACCTAACCTCGAACTGGACTTGACTGCATAATAGCAAGGAGGGAGAAACAAACAACAACAACAAAAAAAAAGTAACATCACCGACCGTTAGCCCATTTGTTTTTATCTAGCTAGGTGTTTGTAAAAAGCTCAGTTTTGCTTTTCTCCCATGTCAGCAAAACTGGTAACTCTGGTTCGGGGAGAGACGGAGAGAGAGAGAGAGAAAGAAAGAAAGAAAGAAAGAAAGAAAGAAAGAAAGAAAGAAAGAAAGAAAGAAAGAGAGAGAGAAAGTAACCAACTTCCCTTGTGTTACCTGCCGGCGATAAGGGCCCACGTGACATCCACGTCATGCGCCCGAAACAAGTAACCTAGGACAACAACAATATAACAGCCAGTACTATTTAAATTTCTATATAATACAAGTCGCCTGTAAGACAACTTTATTGCAAAGTTGTCTTTTTTTTTCTTTCTTTTTTTCTTTTTGTCAGGTCGCATTTAGAAGTGCTTTAGTATATCGTGCCTCATCTAGTGTACATATTTTTTTTCTTTCGATTTTACTAAAAATTACTAATTACTGTTGGTTCAAATTATGATTTGTAGTATCGAACCCTTGGATTAACCACGCTCTTCGTAAAAACTGTGTTCACCCCATTCGTGTTGCAAATTCAGCTCTCCATAAAAAAGGTAGAATAAGTCCCCCACAAGGACAAATTTAATAAAACATCTTATGGTGGAAGTTACAATGACTGTTAAATGTCTCCAAATGTACTGTAGACAAATCTTAGCCTTACGCAACGGTAAAGGATTATTGAAAGTTATGAATAAATGAATTCCATTCCAAATGCCACAGCTTGCATCAAGAAAACTATTACGAACTGGTCCTTTCTGTAGGTAGTCAGTTTCATACTTATAAAATCTGCGACATACACACATAGGTTTTAGTTTAGTGGTACTGGTAAAGTACAGAACTGCTGAAAATCCGGAGTTTATCAAGGAGGCTTGTTCGTTATCGCAAATACGTTATTCAGAACCATTGAGAATCGTATAAAATCTTTTACCGAAGTATATCCCCTTTATTTAATCGAACACTTAGCAATCGGAAAGCTGCCATATTGAAGGTGATCGATAAAAGTGCCCCGTTTGTTGAACTCGTTAATACTAACTTATCCAGGTAAAAGAAATACTTTTTTTTTTTCAATCGAGAATAAAATATTTTTTAATCCTAGCGGTCAGTCCGCGTTTTGTAATCCGCAACATCTGTCCAATATTCAATATCACACAACATTGTCCTTATATATATACATATATATATATATATATATATATATATATATGCATATAAAAACAATGCTGTTAGTGCTACCGCATGGGCATCAGAAATTACAAATCAGTTGAAACGATCTCAGGTCGTAGGTAAGTGAAAAAGCCTCCCGTTTTGCTTGGTTCTCATTCTTTGTGGTGTGTGGGACGTGTAGATAGACACGACACGACAGGCCGGTGGCAACTAAGTAGACGTTCCAAAGATGTGTTAAGCATTGCCATGTGGTTTTGGCACCAGCTTGGTCACCACTACGACTGAAGAGTTTTATAAATGACGCCAGATTTCAAAATTGTGCTGCGTTCGCAATGCAGCTAGTTAATTAATTGCACGGAGAAAGAGAGAACAAGAAGAAAAAGAGGAAAGGAAAGCCTTATCAGGAGGAGTTGTGTCCGTATTTAGAGCAATTTTGACTGTTATGGTCCAGGGTTGCATTTATTCTTCAGACAGTCGGTATATATTTCATTTCGGATTTTTCCTCCGATTGAGCACGGTTTAAGCTGGGATCCACACTCCTAGTAAGCGGTGGAATAATCCAGTGGGGCGTTTGGGAAAAAGTGCAGTTGGGAACGGTTAGAAAAAATGGGGTCACAGAGTGGTAGTAGAATCAAGTAAGCAACAGAAATGTTCTACAGAAGGATGCTGAGAATACCATGAACCGAACATGCGAAAAAGTTTTAGTATGGAAACAAAACGACACTTAATATCAGGAAGAGACAGTTACTATTTCTATGAGAGATAATCAGGAAAGAAGGCTTGGAAAATCTGATACTCACAGAACAGATTGAAGGACAGGGGGACAGTGGAAACAATGCATAACCTACCTAGCGAACTTGAGTAAATGGATGGCGGGACAAGATTTAGGAAAGATAACAAAGGACAGAAAATTATGGAGAGCCACGATCGCCAACGTCCTGAAGGGACACGACACGTAAAAGAAGAATAATTATTTTTTACCAAATCTATACGAGTCTTGCTTAAAGAAAACGTATGTTTTATAAAGAATAAAATTAACATAAGAGTCATACACGAACTCATGGTTTTATTTTATTTGTGTTGGCCCTAGATAAAAGTCCAAATCTTAGTATGTATCTTGCTGGCGTCATCACGACAGGACGCGCTACATACAAGTCAGGCCATACTCAGACATCTCCAGGGGCCGATGCACTAGGTTTATAACCGTAGCGATATACCTATTGATGATCGTCTGGTAACATTTACCTAACGGTATCTGAGAATAGTCGGAATGTGTATGTGTGGTTACAGTATTAGATTAGTTGTTTTGAATTTGCCCTATACATACTACCAACAAAGAAGTGTCCTGTATGTGTCCTGGACGCTAGGGATGTAAGAGGAGTCAATGTTGCGGACATTAATGACATCAGTGTGAGATTTGATATTTAGCCCAGTTAAAAAACACAAAAAAAAACAAAACAAAAAAAAAAACACTATTCAATATCAAATACTGACGAAGGCTGCATTATTAACCAATAATTTTGCGATTTTCAAAAATTGAACTATACTTCTACATACCAACTAAATAAAAAAAGATAAAAATATATGCAAAGAATATCCTTTGCATCTCATTTTATATAATATAAGGAGCAGAGCTTGATATTCAATATATATATACTTTGTCCATTTCATAACATACGTATATGTATATATATATATATATATATATATATATATATATATATATATATATATATATATAGAAATGGACAAAGTCCGACAATTATTTCTATAAAAAGAATGTATAAACATAAAAATGTCTTAAAATATATGTATATATAAAAGTGCACATTGAAGTCAAAACTCAGAGGTGACAGGCTGTTTCATGCTGGACGACATCGGCCTGACGATTGCGTTCAGCATGAAACAGCCTGCCGTCTCTGAGTGTTGACTTCAATGTTCACTTTTTATATTTGTATTTACATACGCTCTATCTCTGATATTGAACACTTTAGCCCATAAATATAGCACCTTAAAACTATATTTCTTCATATATATATATATATATATATATATATATATATATATATATATATTAATAATTTCACCCCAAGCAAGGCAATAAAGCTACTAAGACGCAAGGGGGTTACTGAACTCTAGAGAGTATGTTAAAAATACTATTAATAAGAGAGAATAATAAAGGAAGAAGACAGAAGATAACGTTTGACTTTACACTTAAATTTTTGAAGATTAAAATTGACAGGGAAGCTGAACGACGAAAGAGAGTTCCACAAGCGAGAAGTACGACAGAAGAATCTGTTAGCATAGAAATTACGGTTACATCTAGACATTTCAATTGTAAAATGATGAAATATTGCTGCCAATCGAGTATTGTGCTTAAATTCATAGAGTCTAGGTACCATGGAGGGAAGGTTCGTCCGAACATTTTAACATGGAAATATTCACAGAAAAGGCACAGAGAAGCTACACTAGGGATGTGGGAAAGTGACTGAAGCAGAGATGCCAGGTCAGCACCAATGACATTGCAGATTATTCTTTGGATTTTATCAAGAATCTCTAAATATGTATCAGGAGCACCAGATCAGATGTAGCATCAACATTCGATGTATCGATGAATGGTAGACTTAGATTCTGGTGAGAAAAAATGTCTAGCACGGAATAATAAACCAACTTTCCTAGCAGCAGCCCCAGCAATTGATTCAATATAAACGTTCCACTTCATCTCAGCGGAAAATGTTAGCATGAGAAGACGTAATGAGTTAAAATCAGCCATTCTGATGGAAGGCAGAAGGGAGTTTCTCAGATGATTGAAAGCTTTGTTTTGGAAGCGTTAAAATTAACAAAACATTCCTTACTCCATTTAACGCTTCCAACCTAACCTTATCGAACCGATCAGATCTACGATTAAGACAGGAGTAAAAACTTGTGTCATCAGCATAGATACCAAGTTGAGAATTGATGCTATCTGGAATGGCATTTATGAAGATTAGGAACAGCGTGGGCCCAAGGATATAGCCCTGCGGGGCAACTGTAGTATTGCAGAAAGGCCTCGAAGAATGGCCGTTCGGATATATATATATATATATATATATATATTTCCTTATGGAACATTGGGTTCCTTTTAACGCCGCATCCGAGGACGTAGTAATAGTTTCGATGGGAATTTGGAATTCACAAGTGGTTCTCAGTTGCATGTATAGACTCTTTTAGGATGGTGCGATATATATATATATATATATATATATATATATATATATATATATAGAGAGAGAGAGAGAGAGAGAGAGAGAGAGAGAGGAGGGAGGGAGGCACGGTGGAGTAATGGATAGCGGCTAGGATTGAGGAATCGCAGAGTTCGAATTCCAGTCGAATCCATTACATTCACTTACGTGCTAATACCCTTGGGAATGGTGTGAATCCTCCTAAAATAGCAGGACAGACTGGATTCTATAACCTTGGATGGAAACTGGTCTAGGAAAAGGACAACTCTGAATTCAAAACCTGCAGAGGGTCGTTTGGGGACCTTGTGGCACTTAGTGCACCAGGTCTCTGTATTCATCCCTTCAAAAAGTGTTGATTGTCCTACACGAAGCCTTCACCACTATAATCAAATCTCATGTGCCGGTTTCGGACTGTCGGTTTCCTGGAAACTGATCTGCTTGACCCTCATACGTCGAATTCGACGGGAGAGTCGACTATATATATATATATATATATATATATATATATATATATATACCGGATGTAACAGCAAAATTCTCTAATTATTAGATTAAGATTTGAACCGTTGTATCTTAGAAATGATTAAAGATTTCTTACTGGGATTCTCTGAGGTCTTTTTATAATACTACGGGACTCTACTTTGAACAATAAGAATGTATTTAGCTCTCAGTTGAAATAATGATCCCTCTTGCTGTTGTGACCTTCTGATCCAGTTTTCCTCTCTACTATTCTCACTTTTTAACACTTATTCACTGTTCTCTTGATGGTTCTTGAATGGACTTTGAAGATGGAAGCCAAAGTATGAATGTTGGTACCATTACTGAA